ACAGTTTATCTGTTTCTAAAAGATAGTAAATTCTTATATTTTGTTTTATTTAGAAAAAAGTAATATTTAAGAAGTAATAATATGTTTATTTATTATTTAATTATATATATATATATATATATATATATATATATATATATATATATATATATATATATATATTAAAGTTGTGGACAAAAAGAACAGTAAAGCTGAGATATTTTTGCCACTTTTGGTCCCTTAAATTACATTTTCGGTCCCTCCATTTTTGTTTGTGTGTCACTTTGTTTAAAGGATAACACTTTTATGAAACGGTAATTCTACAACTTTTTTTTTTTACTCTTTTGCTTCAATTGTTTTACCTGTTGCCACTTTCCCCTAAGTTATTGTTTTTTACTTCTTCCGCTCAATTCTCTCGCTCCGCTTTTGCTTAAAACGATTCCCATTTTTTTTGGTCACTTCTTTATATAATGATGTTTTTTTAATGTGTAAAAGCATTTATGAACAGTAAGGAATTGGTTTATTTTACATAAATGGTCCTTAGGTTTTGTTGAATTTGACGACAAAATTACATAAATGGTCCATATGGTTTACCCATGATGACAAATTCAGTCCCTACTACCTGAAAAGACCATATTACCCTCATATTAACGGACAAAAAGCAACCAACATGCTACTTTACTTTACAAAGCAATACCTTCCGACCCCGGCAACGCCGGTGAATCTTTTCTAATTAGTATTAATCATATATTTTTATCAAAATATTTGATTTTCTTAATATACGTAGTTATATCATTATATATTTTTTTTATAAGAATAAGAATATCATATATCATTAACTGCTTTTATGGTGACAAAACTCAATAAATTAGTTTTTAGGAAAAACTTTAATAAAGTCCCAACATATTGGCCTCATAATCGATTTAGTCACTATATATTTTTTTTATTCAATTAAGTCCCAAATACCGGTAATCGTATTCAATTTAATCCTTTGACCCGGTCAACAGGTCATCCAACTTTCAAATATTACATTTTTGGCCCAGATTTCAAAATTTATTATAAATTTGGTCCAACATTTACACTTTTGGGCCAGATTTTAAATTTTATTACAAATTTGGTCCAAACTTTACAATTTTTGTCCAAATTTTAGAATTTTATTATGAATTCATCCTAAGTTTAGTTTTTTTACAACTTTTTTTCTCAAAGAATTGTTTCTAATATGTTTTTTCTTTATAAAAACATATTTATACAAAAAAAATGTATTTTCACATAAAAATCTTATATTTTCTATATAAAAACTTTTTTAAAAAAGTTTTTTGTATATCAAATATCTAGTTATAAAAATAGGTATTTATTAAGTATATAAATATATACAAATCTGTTTTTAGAAAATGATGTATACAAAAACGTATTTCACAAAAAAATGTATACAAACACCTATTTTATCTATATTTTTTTTATAAAATCGTGTTTGTTTACATTTTTTTATAAAAGCGTGTTTGAATAGTTTTTTTATATAATACGTGTTTGTATACATTTTATAAAGTGTATACAAACACGATTTTATAAAATATATACAAACACGTATTATAATAAAAATTATTCAAACACGTTTTTTATAAAATATATAAAAACACAATTTTATAAAATGTATACAAACACGTATTATATAAAAAATTATTCGAACACGTTTTTATAAAAAAAAAAATATAAACAAACACGATTTTATAAAAAAAAATATAGATACACACCTATTTGTGTGCATATATATATATATATATATATATATATATTATATATATATATATATATAGATATATATATATATATAATAAAGGTGGTAGGTGTTTGTATACAGTTTTTTTGTAAAATACATTTTTGCATACATTTTTTTTACAAGAACGGATTTGTATATATTTATATACTAAATAAATACATATTTGTATAAATATATATTTCACATACAAAAAACTTTTTAAAAAAGTTTTTATATAGAAAATATAAGATTTTTATGTGAAAATACGTTTTTTTTATAAATATGATTTTATAAAGAAAAAACATATTTGAAATTTTTTTTTGAGAAAAAAAGTTGTAAAAAAACTAAAGTTAGGATGAATTCATAATAAAAGTCTAAAATTTGGGCAGAAAGGGTAAAGTTTGGACCAAATTTGTAACAAAATTTAAAATCAGGGCCAAAAGTGTAAATTTTGGACTAAATATGTAATAAATTTTGAAATCTGGGCCAAAAATGTAATTTTTGAAAGTTGGATGACCTGTTGACTGGGTTAAAGGGTTAAATTGAATACGATTACCGGTATTTGGGACTTAATTGAATAAAAAAAATATATAGGGAGTAAATCGATTATGAGGCCAATATGTAGGGACTTTATTGCAGTTTCCCCTTGTTTTTACAATAAGTTGTTAATAAGTTTTTAAAAAAGTGTTTAGTTTAACTTATATATATAAAATAACCAAAAAAAATAGGGACTTCTTAAAATCTCATTTTCAACCTAATAAGTTATATTGTTATAAGTTGTTTTTAAGAAGTTAGAAATCCTTACTTCTTAAAATCTTATTTTTAAAGAGTTAACAACTAAATTAATAACTTGGATAGAATAAATGAACATCAAGAGCCTATCTTTGATTTTGTCCTGGATATTTATAATATTCCATTGTAGGGACCTCAATGTTGTTCTAAATTCCCTTTTTCCAAATTATTGTATTAATGTTGCATTCATCAACACCATTGTTGCATAATGTGGAGGATTGTATCTTGTAGTGCTATAAAATAGCTATTTGAATAGTTATCTTATTGAGCATTAATATCGACTACTAATAGAGAATACAAAATATAATCTCTTAATGAGTTCAATCGTTAACTTCAGTTGATCTATATCAACCAATGTATAGGTTTGCTTGAAGATTCGTCGAAGGAATGAATATATTAGGATTTTGTTGAGCAACAAAATCACTAATTGTCAACATTCTCAACTACATGAATGAAGAACATGATTTTCCAATGCTATTTTTAAACTAGGTCAAGGATCGCAACTCTAACTCTAACATGTGTGTTTCATTATATATATATATATATATATTGAGGAGGAAATAAGAGAAAATGACAATGTAACACATCAAACTTTTGCCATTTTGTTAATTTGGTCACTAAAGTTTTTTTTGGGTCAATTAAGTCACTAAAGTCGGGTTTTACCTGTCAATAACACCATTTTTGTAAAAATTAAACGGTTTCCCGATTTCGTTCTGACGTGGCTAAGTGATGTGTCAAAAAACCTTTACTCGGACTTCCAACATGGCACCTGACGATTTTCTTCCCAATTACGCTATTAATTAAAACCCCGATTTGGACCTCATTCATTTCTTTCTTACCCGTTCGTGAAAAGTCGAAGCAAGCACCCTCATTTACATAATCAGATTGTTCGATTCTTCAACACAATGTCTGAGAGATCGTCCAATGCAAGAAATCGCCTCCAAGTTGCTCGTGTGTTTGTTCAAGACGATGTTATCAACTGTGACTGTGATGTTCCAGCTAAGGAACAGACATGTTGGAAACTCACTAACCCCGACAGACGTTTTTGGAACCACAACAACAACTTGGTAAGCTTCGATCTAGCTTGATTTGTTATGGCAAGAATTTTTAGGGTTTCACTATCAAAAACCCTTACATTACGAAAAAAACCCTAAAAATAATTTTGATTATATTGGTTTGTTGTCGTGATTTCGTTTCTGAAAGTACATGTACGATCGCAATTGTTTAAATGGTGTCGTATTGTTAATCATTTTTATTTCTTGGTTTGTTAAATTGCATTTGGTAATTAGTGATTACGTTTTGATGTTGTATTCATGTGGGTTTGATACAGAGAAGACTGACAAAATGTGATTACTTTGAATGAAAAAGATGTCGCAATGGAAGAAGGCTATTACAAAAACCTCATTTATTCCATGAAGCAACAGTTGGATTCCAAAGAGGATCTTTGTGACATAAAAAACTTGAGGACTAGGAATGTTGAGTTAGAGTTTCTCCTGAGTAAGAAGAAGAGTCTAGTGGCAAGCATGGAGAAGGGTATGTGTGATTCCAAGAAAAGCATACGTATGTACAAGTTATTGGTAGTTGTTTTACTTCTTGGGTATGTTTGTTTTGTTTTTAAGTTAGCTAATTAGTGTTGGGGTGTGAAGTTTTTGGTGTAGCTGTTAGTGTAAGGTGTATGTATTGGGATGTGAAGGTTTTTGTATCTTTTGTAAAGTCAGCCTAAAGTGGTATTGTGCTGCTTCTGTATCTTTTGTAAAATCCCAATGACAGTTCCTAATTATCATGAATGTAAAGTCCCAACGACATATAACTGCAATGGTAATGTTTATGTGGATAGTGGAATGGAATTGTTTATGTTAACAGAATTGTTTATGTTATTAAAAGGAAACATACATGTATGGTTTTCCTTTCCCTATATTAATATGATTATATTGGTTGCAGTGGTCCATGTGAAAGTACCAATTGTATGGGGACCATTTGCAGTTAATACATAGTGGATGTTTTATAATTGGGGAAATGGGACCTTTCAACCCATTAAAGTAGCATATCCGGTACCATATACCACATTGACATTCATGCACATAATTCCAAACTATTCCATGCAGAATATATAAACAGTCATCACCTTTTCTTATAGCTAAACACATTAAAAGATAACATACTTCAATTAACTTAAAATGGCAACATACTATCATAGTTGCCAAAAACTTTCACAAAACCATAACACCCTACCCTAATCAATTATAAGATTATCATAGTTGCTAAAAACTTTCACAAAACCATAACACCCTACCCTAATCAATCATAGTTGCCGAAAACTTTCTTAAAAACAAAGTGAAAATTACCATCATCAATCATAGTTGCCAAAAACTTTCACAAAAACAAAGTGAAAATTAACATCATCCTAATAGACTTATATTAAATCCATATTACACAAACACAAAGTGAAATACACAAACCATAAAACCCTACCCTAATCAATTATAAGAGCTTTTCCCTTGGAATTTCCTGGATCATCAACACCACTGACTGTCTTTCCTAATTTGATCTTCAATATTCTCTCTGACTTTCTTCTCCTTATCCTCTTCAAAATATATGAAATTGGTCTAACCTGCTGCATTTTCACATTAGGAACCTCAACAGCTTCCTCAACCACAACATTAACTAGACCCTGACCATCTTCAACCACACCATTAGCTTGACCCTGACCACCGTCAACATTTTCAACCTCAACATTAGCTTGATCCTGACCACCTTCAACATTTTCAACCTCAACACCCTCACCAACAAAACCCTCAGCTTCATAACTTCTAGGAGGAGTCACTTGCATATACTGACCATAACCCCCTGCACTACTAGATTCAGAACCATTAGGAGTAGCTTGGAAATCATTTTGAGTAATATCCACCTGAATTGGAGTCAATTCAACCTCATCATGTTGTTAAGGTTCACTTGTACTAGTCTACATTAGAGGATATGATTATGTAAGTGGATAAGCATATGTAAATAACTTTAAATAGAAAATGGTTTTACATGACCTGCTTTTTTCCTTGGACAAAGTTTTTGTTTCTTGCTTTTCCTCTCATTTAAATCTTGGGGTTTTCTTTGTGGACAAGTAGCCTTGTTGTGACCTATCTCCTTTCATATACTACATTTAATTTTTTTCCCGCCTTAGAAACCTTGTGTTTTCCTTTATTCTCTATAGTGGATTTCTTTCTACTAGCAGCTAGCCTACCAGGCATCCTTCTACTAATAGGAGGCAATGATGGATCATAGTTGGTATGTGGCCACATGTCACCTCCATTCACAGGGGAAATTTTGTAATTGTATGCCTTCCTGAAGGTTGTGGTGTTATACATGTTGTCCACATAGGCTTCTACATCCCTATTAAGATAGGATATGCTTGCTACTGAATGAGCACATCCATATCCATTCAATTTCCACAACCTACATGAACATGTTTTCCTTTCTAGGTCCACCTGATATGCATCTGCTGCTCCCCTAACCTCAAACTGGTTTAATCCACTAGGCAGTACCTGATAATGCCTCTAGACCTTCTTAACAAAAAATTCACATTATCCCTTATCTCTGGACAAATATGATTTCCCCATTGTTGTCCCTTCAACCTCATCTTGTACAATCTGTCCATCATGTACAATCTTAATTCCTCAAACATGGTGATTATGGGCTTCTTCTTGGCATCTACTATCACAACATTAAAACTTTTAGAGAATCCATTCTCAACTGCATCACAACACCTTCCAGGTTGAAAGAAAGCTCTACACCAAGTTTTTGGATCTTTATGCATGAGATATAGATGTGCATCTGGGTTCAATGTCTCAATTTCCTTCGTCACAACTTTAAAAGCATTCTCAGTTGTACCTTTTGATGCTATCCAAAATAATGTATGGTATATGGCCCCACTAAATCTCTTCTGTAAATTTTGGCAAATATGTCTAGCACACTGCCTGTGCTCTACATATGGCAACAACTCCTTAACAGCCACTATCAAACCTTGTAAAAAGAAGAAGATTTAAATCAAATAGTGTAAATTAAGTATACTTGAATTACATTGTAATAAACTAACCTTATGTTGGTCTTCCATTAAACTGAATCCATTTCTTAAATTCAAGTGTAGATCCTCAATGAGAAGTTCCAAAAACCACTTCCAATTCTGCTTGTTCTCCATACATACCACAACCCAATCAATAGGATATATCTTGTCATTTTCATCCCTCCCAAGTATAGAAAGAAATCCCCCTTACAAACACCTTTCAAAAAACAACCATCAAGACCTATTACCCTTCTAGATCCTTCCATCCAAAACTTGTTTGACTCCTTGAAAACAAACATAGAAGTTGCTGAAATACTTCTTTCCATCTGGACCAGTCTCCACATCTAATTTTATAGTTGATCCAGGATTAGTCCTCAAAATCTCATGACCATATGAACATAGCCTACCATAATGTTCAACAAGACTACCTTCAATAAGTTTAGTGCATGCTTTTTTGCTCTCCTGTATTGGACCATACTAACTTGGATACCAAATTTTGTCATTACCTTTACCCTAAGCTTCCTTACACTCAATTTCTGACTCTGCACAATCTCTTTGGTATAATGACTCCCAATCCATGCATATGTCACTAGTGACCCTAACTTGAAGTTCCTAGCACAATTATGATCAACTTTTATTGACTTGATTTGGAAACTCTATTCATCACTCATCCAAGAAGCTCATAGTCTAAATGTGAAAGCACCCTTACTACATCTAACCAAAAGTCTTTTCCTGTCATTTTTTCAAAACAAAGTTGATATCTATTAGCCACTGAATATTTACACAACATTGATTTAACTTGGGCTGGATCCTTAAATCTCATTCCAAGAATTGGTTTTTGTTTTTCCAATGTATCAACTCATTAAAAATTGAATGCATTGGTGGTTCATCATCATCTACAATGTTGTTATCCTCCCCCTCATCAACACATAACTTACTTAGGAAAGGATCATTTGATGTCCTACTCATAATAACTACATCCTCATCAAATTCCACATTCCCATTCCTAAGTTCATCTATATGTAACATCCCAAATACGGGCCAAAAATTTCATTTTTAAATCAATACTTTGGAAAAACATTAGTGAGTAAACATCGCCTGATCATATCATTTCATAAACATATTCCGTGTCTCAAATCCAACATACAAAAACAACCATAATGTCAGAGTACAAAATCCCAGAATAACTCATGATGCGGAAAACAATGTGGGTGTATGATGTGCCGCTACCGCGCCAGCTCCTTCCCCTTCGATGAAGAGGTACCTGAAAACAAAACTATAAACTGTAAGCACAAAGCTTAGTGAGTTCCCCCATTGTACCACATACCACATAACCACATAAGATACATATATTGTAGGGCATAACTGGGTGCCCGACCTACCCCTTCGGTCCTCTCGACCGGATACTGACTAGCATACCTGGGTGCTGGTCTCCCCTTCGGTCCTCTCGACCGGATACTGACTAGCATACCTGGGTACTGGTCTCCCCTTCGGTCCTCTCGACCGGATACTGACTAGCATACCTGGGTGCTGGTCTCCCCTTCGGTCCTCTCGACTGGATACTGACTAGCATACCTGGGTGCTGGTCTCCCCTTCGGTCCTCTCGACCGGATAATGGGGACTATTTCACCCCCTACTACTACCACATAACACATATCACATAATCTATCTAGCATGACTGGGCATGACTGCCCCTTTGGCCCTATCGACCGGTAGTTTGGGGACTATCTCCCCTACTGTCACTAGCACATATCATCATATCATACTAGCACATAAACATATCACAGGTAGTAGCAACCCTAGATGAATATCACAGAGAAAATCATCTAATCATACAACTCCTACTGGTGGGCCGACATTGTGGCCGTAGACCCACCACTACTGGAAGGTAACTCACCTCGTAGTAGCTGCTGGTCTGTGCGGGAACTCTCTATCTGCTGCTGCTGCTCTGGAAATCCTCCGGCTATAAATCCCACAAAACACACTATCAGAGTCTGATACCTACTCTTTGTTTCAAATGACCATTTTACCCTTGATCAAGTCAAGTCAAAGTCAAAGTCAACTTCCAGTTGACCTGACTCGCCGAGTTGGGCCTCCAACTCGTCGAGTCCATAACCAATCGATTGTCCTTACTCCCGTCCCTACTCGTTGAGTTTGGCATTGACTCGACGAGTTCTCCTTCTATTCAAGTATCTAATTATCCTTCATCCGACTCGCCGAGTTGTATGAACAACTCGTCGAGTTATTCTTTATCCTATGAACACGTTCTGTCCTTGACTCGCCGAGTTGTATGAACAACTCGCCGAGTACCATGAAGATTGTCTTGGACTCGCCGAGTCCGTGCATGCACTCGCCGAGTACCATGAATTCCCAAAACACTTTGCTTAGTCCAGAACATTGGGTCACTCCCCGGGACTCCTAAAAACCCTTCCACACTCAACTGGTCCTTATGACCCTCACTGATATGGGACCAAAACCCCTGGGCTCGCCGAGTCCAAGGATGGACTCGCCGAGTCTATCACATTCCTTACTAAGAACTCGATTTCTGATGTACAACACTTAACCAAATGATAGATCCAGGCCCCTAAACTCGATCTAGCACGTAAAGTTACAAACTTTACGTGCATGCATGGGACATAAGAGCTTAAAAGGCTCTAAAATGGTTCTTTTGTTGCATGGGGCCTTCCTTGGTGCAAAAAGCAAACTAGATCTGACTTGTGGCTCATAAAATGACATGATACAGAAGCCCAAACCCCCAACCATGTTTGCAAACATGGTTGGCCACAAAAAATGGCTTATAAAAGCCCTAAATCACCCCAAAGAGGGATCTAACAAATGAATGAGCAAGGTTCAGACTTTATACCTTCCAAGGACTGCAAATGATGAACCAAACTCGAATCCTTTAGTCCCCTCTTGATCCTTCTATGCTCTTCCTTCTTCCTTGAGATCAAAACTCACAAGAATCACTCAAAAAGTCTTAGATCTTCACAAAAACGGCTAGGGTTTGCTATGAGGAGTGTTTGGGAGCATAAAAGGGGAAAGGAGGCTGCATAAGGTCGTTTAAATAGGGTGCAAACCCCTGGATTAGGGTTTTTGTCCAAACAGCGACTACTCGCCGAGTCCGGGACTGGACTCGCCGAGTCCGCAGCTCAAACCTCGCGCCTCATCCCGCTTCTACTCGGCGAGTCAGTCCTTCGACTCGCCGAGTCCAAGGCTAAAATGTAAAAAAAATAAATGGAGATTTAATAACATAATACATACCGAGAACCAGGTGCTACAAATCTCCCCCACTTATTTTTGACTTCGTCCTCGAAGTCTGCCGCTCGATCCTGAAACAGCTCGGGGTAGTGCTCCATCATTTCGCTCTCCGGCTCCCAAGTCCACTCCGACCCCTTCCGGTGCTGCCATTGCACCTTTACTAGCTCCACCCTCTTGTTCCTCAAATCCTTCGACTTCCAATCAAGGATCGCTACTGGCCGCTCAATGTAATTCAGGCTGTCATCAACCTGAATATCCTCTAAAGGTACCACCGCTGAGTCATCCACTAAGCACTTCCGCAGTTGGGAGACATGGAAGGTGTTGTGGATCTGACTGAGCTCGGCTGGCAGATCCAGCCTATATGCCACCTTGCCCACCCGGGCCAGAACCCTGAAGGATCCAATGTACCTGGGGCCCAATTTGCCCCGTTTCCTGAATCGGATGACACCCTTCCATGGTGACACCTTCAGGAGGACCATATCCCCGACCTGGAACTCCAGGTCTGATCGGCGCTTGTCAGCATAACTTTTCTGCCGACTCTGTGCAGTCTGAAGCCTGCTCCGAACCTGCTGAATCCTCTCGGTCGTCTTGAGCACCACTTCGGTGCTCCCCATGACCCTCTGGCCTACCTCACCCCAGCATATCGGGGTCCTGCACCTCCTCCTGTACAACATCTCGAAGGGAGGTCGGTCGATACTCGCGTGGTAGCTGGTTGTACGAAAACTCAGCTAGAGGAAGATAGGTATCCCAGCTACCACCGAAGTCTAGCACGCA